ATTTAGGCATAAAATAACAAGAAACATCTAGTTGAAAAGGGAATAACTAAATTGATTCTGGATTGGATTCCTAAAATCCCTTAAACTCATGAATGCCAGATTTCAGAGGGATCGTAGCACCTTTATTTGGCTGTCATATTGAATCCGCTATCTTGATTTTTTTGTACCAGCAATCCTAACCGACCACACTGCTCGTAAATTTTTAACCATGTCGTCTTCCTTTGGGAGAACAATCAGACCAGTGAATGAGTGAGTACGTGAGTGAGTGCGTGGTAATACAGCTTTACATGTACATGGCCACGTAGCAATGTGGTGAGCAAATGAGATAAAGTTACGGCGCAGCAGTATTACTTTGTCTCGAGGGTGGCACCATCGCAGTTCATATTTATAAAGGAATTTTAGTATTACAGGAAATCTTTTTTGTCCAGTTATGCAAAGTCGGTACGACTTTCATAACTCGCAGTCACTCACAATCACAGTTACAGATGGTGCTTCAAAATACGAATATTTGCTATTCCGGTTTCAGTTTTTCAGTCACTGTTTGACCTATTGCTTTGGAGTTTCCAAATATAATACAAGGCATTTTGACTAACATTTTGTATGTTTTTTGCTTGGTCAATTGTCAGCCACGCCCTCAGTAAACAAATATTTAGCGCAATGAGTAGACAAAGAAAAGTAATATGTTGGAATGTTAGGAAATAGCACCGTCCTGCTCGCACACAGCCTTGTGCTATGTTGACGGTCATCACTAATCGTAATCCCGTGAGTCGAATTAATTGTTACATTTAGGTAATTCAGAACGATTTCGTATTTGTTAACATTACCCTCACTACGTAAATACGGGATAATGTTACTTTGTGGCAAAAAATACATATACGATCGCAGTTGCCTTTTGTGTGTGTTTAGATTATACAAAAAAATGTTGGTTCTAGGGACGTCACTAAGGTGAAAAATTTAATAAAACCTACACGATCTCAAATGGCTTTGGTTGATTCCGCATAACAGTGAAAGTGTTGAATCAATCACTTTGGAAAAAAATGTAGTAATATTGAGGATATGCACTGATTACTATATGTGGTGTGAAAACACGATTCCTAAAAATTTTCACGGTACAAAAGAAAAGACAAACTTACCTCGAAATTTTACATGAAAACCGCTGTATTGAATAGGTACTTTACATACACCAATGATTTTTTAAATATCAACTGAAGCAAATAGAACACGTATACTATTTGATATACATTTTTCAAATGGCTTTAATTTCGTTTGTAAAAAAAATTATTCTGAAATAAAGTCAGCGTCCCTTCCGCTCGACTCAAGCAACATGAACCGTATTAATACGGGAAAATTTTTAATTCGAACTGAGGTAGTATCGACTCTTAAAGGTCAGGTGTATTAAACTAGAATATTACTAGAATATAGTATAAACGAGAAATGCTCGTTTGCAAAGCTCATTTTCCACAAGATGAAAAATAGTACAATTTCTCTACTGTACCACCCAAGCACTGAGTGAATGAAACAGATATTTTTAATATTTTACATAACTCGTTCCTTAGATATTCACCAATTTCCAACGAGTACATAAGACAATAATAATACCTACTATTTGCGTGAAAAAAATTTATAAATTATACTAATATTACATTGACAGGACTACATGTATATTATATTATTAAGACTAATGAGAGTGAAGTATAAATCTCTAACAAACTCCTCGCTTAAGTATATTCACGCTTCAACAATGTTTCAAACGAACGCGACATCAATGTGGGTTCTCTAATGGGAATCTAGGTTCACTAGGTTGCGTAAATAACAATTTATATTCCCGACATGAGTTGCAGTACTACTGAAAGAAACATTTTTTTTAAATACATCTGCAAAAGAGTCACCTTTTTAGTTGTAGACACATTTGTTGAAACTACTGATCTAACGGATATTTTGAAATGGCACAATACACGAAAAGTTTTTAATCGGATTAACACTAAAATTAAAAAAAAATATCGCAACTGGATGAAAAATAATAGAACGCATAAGCGCTATACAAACAAACATTCATTTTTATATCTTTTAATCTCTATGTTTCGATTTTACTCGGATTCGCGAAGATCTGGCATTTGGATTGGGTTTCAAGCTGAGGAAGCCATTTCCAGCATTCTTTAATACATTCATGAAGTGGGCGAGAATTTGTCCGGGCGCACGAACCGACCTCATTTAGATAAGAGGCAGCATGACTGCACAAAAATACCGTGACGAGATGGGGCAAAAATTTCAGCTCATGTATATTAATATCCTTTCATATACTCTGTAAATGGTTTTGATTGCTCCTCGGGAAACGACGAAGAACACGCTTGAAACATGCTGTAACGGAGCTTGAACCAATTTCCGTTTAATTTGACTACAAAAAGTTCACACGCCAGCAAGACAACCTAATTTTAAGTATGAATAGCCAGCCCGATGGTACTGAATGGGGAGGTTGGTTTCGCGATGTCTCAACTAATATTTAGACAAATTAATGGTTAAAATCAGTGGGAATGCCTCGCCCATTCTTTTTGCAAAACGATCGTAAGTATGAAGCTTAAGCTCTAACGTCATAAACAGCTATTGCCGTTTCTTACGTCATACTAAATGCAAAGTTTGCATTTTTTTTTCAAACAAATGAAAATTATGTTTTTATATTTGACCGTTTTATGTCCGTTACGAGTGCTAATTAAAGCCATACTTGTCAAATCACCTCTTTGTTGTGGATAACAACAATTGGTAACTGAAAATACGTTCTAGACAATTACACTACCTACTTACTTGTAGTTACTGAATATCCTATATACAATATCATAATTAGACATCGGATTATATGCATTTGCATGTTTGCATATGCAAACGCATATAATGCTATTTTTATAGCGTTATTGCATATTTTGGTACTTTTTCATTGACAGTGCTTATTTTAGTATTTATACGTGTTAGACGTGTTGTACTACGCCGCCGTCCCCACACCACACATCAACACATCGCCCTCGCACGCACTGCGAGAGCGCATTGAGAGCGATCCGCGAGCGTAGGTACTCGACTCGCTATTCGCATTTATCAACGGCACCGGACAAATTCTGCCTGAAGAGGTCTCGGCAGAAATGGCGCCAAATTTTAAGTTCTGTCCGGTAACGTCAGTTGACGTTGAAAGGTCATTTTCAGCATATAAATTAGTTTTAAGTGACAAACGTCACAAATTTGCGCCAGAAAACCTTGAAAAATATGTTATTGTATATTGTAGAAATAAAGTTAATTCTAATAATGGTTTTTTGATTGTGCATATTTTGTGCATATTTCGCCCTTTTTTAGTGCATATTTGCATGCATATTTTGGCATTTTGATAGTGCATATAATCCGATGTCTAATCATAATAATTTATTGAAAGTATTTACGTACGAATTGCATATATTACATTTCGTGCTATGAATTACTATTCAGTACAATATATTCCTTGCATTGCAATCATAAATATCCAAATAGAAAATGGATATTTAAGGTATTTAAGATGTTTAAAAATTACATATTATACTTAAAACTCCAAATAGAAAATGGGAAGGTTGCGTACTTGCAATAAAATTAAAATTGCCAAATTAAAAGAAAAAAATATATTGTCGTCTCTAGGAGATATTTTTTTTTTAACTTACTTACTTACTTCTTCATTGTCTTTATTAATTTGACATACATTTATGGTATTGCATTTTTTGCCGCGAAAAAAGTAAGGGTCTATTTAGTATATTTTATTGTAATAGTTTCCGAATTTAAATATATGAAAACAATGTCGCCATCTGGGAGTAGAGCCTTTATACTAAGACGTAAAAGTTAGTATAAGGGAGCATCTGTCGTAAACTAAGTTACGTCAGTAGTTCGCGGTTACTCTGCTAGATGGTGCTGCAAAAATTACACCGTCAGACGGGTCTCGAAAGTACGTTACTAATATTCTTTTTTTCTCAGAATTAACGAAACTCCATTTAGTATTATTTATTTTAGTTTACGTAACAAATGATTAATAACATTATTTTTTTATATATAATATTAAGTGACGGGATGAGCAAGTTCGGCACCTCATGGCAAGCCACACGCCTATCCATAATAGTTGTAGTGCCTCAGAGCTCAGAGCTTTAAATCGCAAAGATCTGAGGGGCACTGACACCGCGCCCGTCACCCTGAGACATAAGTTGTCAAATCCAATTTGCCTGTAATTTCACTAGCACCCTTACCTTTCAAAACCGGAACACAGTAATACTTGGCGGCAGAAATAGGTAAGGTGGCAGTAGTATCCTGGATGAACTCTTTCACAAGGAGCTCAACTGCTACTGCTATACATATTAAATTTATGAATATTATAACACTGCACATTTTTTTCAATTGTGTATGCGGTTGTTAAATCAGACTCTTGAAAGCGTGATGTGTATAACGTTGGTGAAATTACAGGCACATGGAACTTGTCAATTTATGCCTCAACGCGACGGGGGCAGCGGCAGTGCACCTTAGGTCTTTGCGATGTTAAGCTCCGAGTGGCATCGTGACAGTTATGGACGGGTGTGTTGCTTACCACCAAGTGCACAACTTGTTCGGCCCGTCTCTTGGTATCATAAAAAAACGAAAGAGTGTAGACCTAGGTCTACACGGTCTCAGTAAAATTGTTTTCAAAAGTAATATTAAACACATTATGGTGACATCTCATTTGACACAAATAATAATAACACAATGGAGTATATGAGTATTTGTTTGGAAAATGTTTTTTATTATTTCATAACCATATGAAATAATAAAAAACACGCATGTTTTACTCTGTTTCTTAAAACGGAGTAAATTGACGTTTTCAGGATTGTAGGTATTCGTAAAATTTTAAATACTCATGTAGTTGTTGTCGACAGTTTTAACGGAAAATTGTGAGATAAATTACAATTTTGCAGAAACTTGTGAATAGTGAATGTTATGATGTTCTAATGATTAATAATTGAGGCACTTACCTAGCGCTGAATATGGTGGCAAGAGCCATGAAGCAACCATCAGCGACGCGAGGGGTACCAGTGAAGCACTTGTCTACGGTCCAATCCAACAGTGGGCCGATGTCGGGGTTGCAATCCAGAAGGAGCACTATGGTTTCACGGGCCAGCTCGTATATCTTGTACGGAAAACAACTTACAATAAACAAAGGTGTAATTTATTTCCAGCCAACAAATTATTGCGATATACTACTTAGTATGTTCATAAATTTTGAGACGAAATAAAAGTTACATAAAAATTTACAGAATTATGTTATATTTTTAAAACTCTCAGATTATGATAATTAGACACTAACCAACAACTGCAATTACTACTCAAAATGACCGCATCTTTTCCTAATACAAAGACGTCCGGGACAGTTTTGGATCGCGCCACGAACCTTCTTCCATGGGAGTCGGTTCGCTTCTTTGATGAGGGCCCGCTTTAGAGAATTCAAGTTTGGGTGGGAGTTTTAGCAGGCTCTGAGCTCCAATTCAGTTCTCGAGAACAGTCAATTTAGTTAAGATCAGGACTGGGCCATTCTTCCGCCGCGATCCAGCTTTCCGGTAACCAAGCTTGAGTCGTTTTAGTCTTATGCGCCGTAATATTATTTTTTAAGCTTTGTTTTATCGGTTGAAAGATTCTTGGACAGTGAAGATTTTTTCGTCTGTGAAGATTATTTTTTTCGCATCGTGTCATTCGCGTCGTAATTTACGAAGACGTTCACTTGGGAAGCGAACTTTCCTACGACTGCAGGCATTTATTTTGTGATTCTATTTCAGTATTTTGCTGAATAAAACACGCGAAATGCTTGTCTTCGAGTTTTTTTTGCGTGAGACATGGGTTTCGGTGAAATAGCTCTCTGATTATTTTGATGATCGCAGTCGTACAGACCTTGGGCGACCACTCTTTTGGCGACCTTTTAGAGAACCAGTCTCCTTGTAACATTTTATGGTATAATACACGAAGTTGCGGCTTACTCCAAAACATTTTACGTCACGGAAAATCTCCATTTTGTTCCGCCATGTGTAGCGAAATTACAGTCGCACGTAATTGTTTTGTTCCCTCCATCACGACAAAAATAATAGAAATGAATTAGAAAAATTTACAAACAAAACAAACATTCCAAATTCAAAATTGAGCTGCTAGTATTATTTTGTTTTATTTATTAAAGTCAGTTTGTCTCAAAACTTATGAACACAAGAGGTATATTTTACAATTCTTTTCTGTTATTAATGAAAGTAGTGAGCAGATATTTTTTTATATCTTTCATATAAGGGGTAACGAGCACATTTTATCATGTCTATTTGAACGTGGCGTTCTTTTTTTATAATATCAAGCGAAGAGACAAACTAGTATAATATGCGCTTGGTGGTAAGAGACACGCCTCTCCATGACAGTTACAGTGCTACTTCGAGCTTTAAATTGCAAAGAACTGAGGAGCACTGCCACGGCACCGGTCACCTTGAGACATGCGTTGACAAGTCCCATGTGCGTGTAATTTCGCTAGCACCCTTTACCCTTCAAAACCGAAATGCAGTAACGCTTACATTACTGCTTGAAGTCAGAAATAAAGTTGGCAATACTTCACTGGACGGACTCTTTCACAAGGAGCTCTACTGCTTCTGCAGTTGCTAATCCGATTTAAAGTTTAGTAAATAATAAACCTGTCATAGTGTAACAAATACAAACCTTGTCATTTGTAGATGATAACATCTCGCTAAGCCACGGATAGAGGGTGCCGTCTTCGGCTAGCGCGTTAGGCGCAAAGCAGGGTCCGCAAGAGACTAGGGCGCTCATGGCCTGTAAAAAAAATGAGAGTTCAATTTACGTCAATAATAATAATATACCAGGCTACTAGCATAGTATAATATACTCGAGACCGCGGCGGGTCTAATTCCGTGTATTTATATGGACGACAACACACCGAGCGCAGCCACGTGCGCCCGTCCCGTGCCCGCGCTCGGTGTGTTGTCTTCCATATAATTACAGGGAATTAGACCCGAAACGCGCTTGACCCGACCCGCACCAGCTCTCTGTGTGTTTCACGCTTAACAGAGGCACCAGCGAGATCATGTTTGAAGGTCAAAATTAACAAAATATTTATAATAATCCAGAAAACTTTCTGTACTAAGCAGGCCTTATCGCTAGTAAAACATACCTTAAGTGCCGAAAGGTTAAGGCGCTCGTCAACTTCAGGCGTCGGCGGCGGTGCGGGCACCAGCGAGCCTAGATATTTGGCAAGTGGTCCGCACCAACCCGAAAACAAGCAGAACAGGCTGCGACAGAGCTCTTTCTTCATCAACGAGGCACGTATCTCCACTGTATTGACAATTAATTACAAGTTAGTACATTTAAAGCTGCTCGAATTTATTCGCATGAATCCCAACATAATTGACGTAATGATAACAATTTTCAAATTGTATCGTCAAAAAATTTGATTACATATTATTTAACAAATTTTTGTAATTATTAATAACAAGATCGAACACTAAGAAAAAACTCCTTCGATCCGTCTGAATTCGAACCAGCGACTTCCAGGTTTGCTGGAAGACGCTATGTAGTGTGAAACTACAGGTCTTCATGTCTCTCATATTACGTTTCCTAGGAAACGCCCTTACTTTTCCTGATTCCTGAAAGAGTTCCAACCAATATTTATTATAGTATTAGTGCCTAGAATATTTAAATTTTCCTTTAAAAACTTTTTTCTCACTTTGACAGATCTCACTCACTTTTCACGCCTGATTTTTAGACCTCTGCATATTCATCATACCGATAGTTTCTCTGAACCTTGGTAATTACTTTTCACAGCGGTAATTACGCTAATGAGTTAATTATTTATTACTGCCTTATTCTTTAGCTGGTTCGAATCCAGCCGGATCGAAGAATTTTTTTCTTAGTGTTCAATCTTTATAGTAATTATTATAACAAACAAAGAAAGTGGAGTAATTTCTTAAAAGTTTCTTTAACAACAATTTCAGATTTTATTTGTTTGTTTTCGTTCAAAATGGGCATGTCTGGGTTTTGCTTTTATAAATTAGATTTCGTATATGAGATCTAGTGTGTTACCTCAATTATTTGAATTCTTATCACTATAGACGAAGGATTATTAGCAAAGAGTTTGTCGTTGATTAGCAGAATTTACTTCCGTTTTTTGCTATTATAGCGTAGTGATGTTAAGTGGTAACTCATTAGAGCTTACTACGTTACGACATTCCATGTTAGTATAAAAACAATACAATACACATGATGCAAAACTGACTGGTACAACATTAAAAACAAGTAACAGTGTAATACCACTGTGTCGTGCGGTAACATGGCAACTGTAAAAGGTCAAAACAGAAGACGTTCAGTTGCGTCTCCAAAAATTATGTTGCGGCTTTACTACGATCGTGCAGAGAGTGGTCTCTATGTAATATGAAATCAATTGAGGTGGCGGTAGACGATGGTATCTTGTACTAACGTGGAAAATTCTTGATAAGTTCGGTGACGAAATCCGCAAAGGTAAGTCGTTGTTCCCTTGCGGCTGGCGCATCCTTCTCGGCTTCCACTTCAAGACATTGCCGCGCGCCGTCTAGGTATTCCGTCAAGGTTGCATGTAAGCTACCTCCCTCCACTGCAAACGCACTGTTCAAGAAAAATATCATACTTTTATTTGAAGCTATTTTGCTGAGATTGTGAATGGGATATTTAATGTTTCCTGTAATGATGTATTAAGTTAGCTTGTTGCTTAGTTCTGAAGCGTGTTGACAAATTAAGCTATACTTTGTCAAAGCCGTCTTACTAAATTAGGAATAAAAATTGTTTGATGTGTTGGGTTTAAATAATTTTGAATGTCAATCAAAAGAAATTATGTATTAAATAACATATAAATTTCCAAATAAATATTTTCCAAATTTACCTATTAGCAAAAGTTTTCCTCTGGGCGATGATGAGTAGCATCTTGTTGAGATTGAGGCGAAGAGCGTCGCGGCGCCTACGCCGACGCATATTCTCTTGTTTGCGATCCACTGCTTCACGCAGCAGTGGCAGCAGCTCTTCCACTAAATCTCTGTTGCAATAAACAATAATAAATATAAACAAATGTGTTAAAATAAGGACTCCGATTGCCGGGTACAAAGGTAACGAAACTTTGAGGGAATACCTAAGTATTCCCGCTTCTTCCTCGTCTTCTTCTTCGTCTTTAATTCAAGTCCAGCGACTAATCGCTGGAATTGAATTGAAGACGATGTTTAAAAATTGTTAGGCACACAGCATGCCAGTTGGTTACTAGAACTCCTTCGTAGACTTATAATTGGGTTACGTCCATTTATATTACATTTATAATTCAATGTGTAATGAAGCCCTAGTCCCACAGGAGGGGTAGGCAGAGAACACGGGACGCCACTTTATTCTGACACAACTCAATGAATTAATAATTACGATAAAGGTCAGGCCGCGGAGTCAGTACAGTTTAGCAGTAGAGCTGCGCGTTTTGGGCTGGAAAAAACTGTGACGCTTGTTTTGGAACATACTTGAGAGCGTCAGGATTAATGTGTCCAGCTGCAGCAACAGCTGCGTCGCGAACTTCAGGAACTTCGCAGCGCGCAAGAGGCACGGCGAGCTTGTGCAACGAGCCCGGGGACGCCTGCAAGCTGCGCGCCTCGCCGCCGCTGCGCTCGCTCAGCGAATCCGGCGAAGAGCTGTACCGTTTTATCCACTTGTTAAACATTACATTTCGTAACTGAAGCCCTCAATCGGCTATTTAAATAGGCAGTTAAAAATATACAAAGCAAAGACAACAAAGATTTATAATTGTAAAATCTTATCAACGCACTCCGTGCTTTATTGTCAATTACATATCACGCTAATTTAAAAAAAATTTCATCACTGTTAACTACAAATTATCAGCGTACCTACAATGCAAACAGCTCCATCTAGACAAAATTTATATGAAATTTACTAAATATTAAAACCATCACATTAACCTGGTTATTACAAAATAAGCGATTTCAACTCATTATCAAGAAGCCTTGGACGAAAACACAAATGGACATATATATTGAAAAGCTAATTTAAAATATGAGACTCCAAAACATAAAACACAAAACATGAAGCGGTTTTCCACTTTCCCCGATCAGGATCCATTATTGTATACATATTATGACTAGCCTTTTCATGCAGTAGCGCTGTTTGTATCAAGTTCCAGGTACCAAGTCAAACTTGTATATGTCACAGTTTTCTATACATTAATGACCTAAATATTCTGTAAATATAACAACTACGTTTGAATACTGAGCATGCTGATAAAAGACAGATAAAACACATATCTGTAACTACCTGAGGCTATTAGGAAGTATCTACTGGACGTGTGTATCACTGAAAAACATTCGCTTTCACGTGCATATTAACACTAAAACCTAATCTAAAATACTGTACCGCCGGCTGCATGAATTCAAATAACAACAAAAATGTAATTTTTTCCTGTTATACATTTCCTCCTCCTTTCGAGTTACGTCATTCAATTCACATATTAGGAACAAAATTAAGCTCTAGCCGCAATCGATATCAAAAAATCTTTAATATTGCACACATGTAATATAAAAGATACTGCGCGGAATTATTGGTTAACTACGCAGCAGATGTTAACGTTTTTTTTTTTCAAATATGACACGTGAAAGCGCATCTACAGACAGGGCACGATACAAACACTAGTTAACACATAGACAATAATTATTGGTTAGAACAACAGCGTAGTCACGAACTACGGACTATGGTGCTTATTACCCCCACAGTGAATCCGGACACGCCGATAGGAAGAGGGCACTGTCCAGGCAAAATAAGATTAAATTGTGATACAGGAAGCTTATTAGTTACTTTACAGAATTAGGTATTTAGATAAAATACACATTTACCACAAATTTTAATATTGTGGAAGGGAATAACAATAGTTATTGTTGAGAAAAATATTTAAGAACGCTTTTACAAATTTTGGAACGTTTTATTTCTATAATCAGTAATCACAATTTGAGGGGTATTTGTACTTCAATGTATATTTTAACTTAACCTAGAATTGATAATATTTACTTAATATATTATTGCTTTTTTTCTGTAAATATGTATACTTTTAAAACCCAATTAGGATTGATTTTCGATTTCCAAGATATCAGATTACGTCTTCGGAAATGGGATGGTATCGCCATCTTCAATTTTCTGGGACAACCGACAACGGTAAATAATAATATTTTTATGGATATTGGACTGCAGTAAGAATGTAAAATGAAATAATACATATTACCCATAAATGTCCCATAACGTAGAAATGTATATCGTATTTATGACTTAGGTAACTTGCACATACGTGTACCTTTAAGATGACAAACTACTACATTTGGGTATATACAAAACAAAAAATTTAAACCTTTTTCAGCGTTAAAAATCTTGACCTTATTTGCAGAATAAAGTAACTACGAAAATGTAGACGTTGTTCAATCGTGCAAATTGATGTAAAATAGCTGCGTTTGTGGTCCTACATTACATAATGAAATAATGTTTATATAGATAAAAATAATAAACTGAAATTAAACTTAATTTTTTTCCAAAAGTATTATCAAATCTAAATATTATCCGTAGTATTATCAAAGGTCATTCTACACGGCATCGCAAGCAAAAATCAGCCAATCTCTTCGAAACCTGGGCAAAGTGACTTGCATCTAACTACACTAACATTCATTTTTCATAAAAGTGATGTTCGAAGTGTAAACATGTAAAAATTTTAAAACGCTGCTATGTCAAATCGATGATCTGCATGTATGACAGTGAATAGGTGAAGTAAGTACGCTTATTTACCGCAGAAGTTGTGGAACACAGACTAGACAGACGTGGGATCCACTGCTAATTTATAAAAGTTGACCATGAACTGACGTTGACTGTTTTATGGTGAATGCTAGCGCTGTGCTCGAGACCTATGCGTGGTGTAATGAACGATGAGAGCAGACTACAGGGACCTTTATAGTTTGAACAAAGCAAATAAAAGGTCGCTGTAATAAGTTACCAACTATGAAAAAGAAGGATGTGATGCTGGCTCCATTGTAATTTTAACATTGCCAATGATTAAATATCGGCAACCATTTTAATTAAATTTAACCTTTGCATACAACAATACGTTTTGTACATATTGACGAGTAAGTTCTTTTATGACTTTTATGATGGAGCCGACATTCACAACACAATGATCAAAATCGAATGCGACGTGCACATAGCGAGCGTCAATTGGCCACCTCGTTCGTTTATGCTGTCTGTGCGCGCGCGCATAGCTCAAGGGCAGCGTGAAGAACCCCCCGGGCGCGTTGAGGCTCTCGCTCGACGAACTGAGGGCAGGCAGGCCCAGCCATCCCTCCGCCTCATTGCTATAACCGACTTAATGTTGCAGCACCGTACATAACCCTCACACGCTGGAACTAAATTATATCGACGGCAGATATTCGCTTCTTAATTTTTCTCTCCGTGACTGATAATGAAATCTTACTACCAGCGCGCTTTCAGTCTTCACCATTTTATAGAATTCTTTGTAATTATTTCGGTGGCATTTACCTAAACAGGCGTATCCTTTTTTGGTGCTTTTGAATGTACTCAAAGAATTCTGCCTATTTATTATAAATCGAATCAATAATCCAAATCAGTGTCATAAATGTCTCTTATCTAAAGTAAGGAAAACCGTTGTTCGTGCTTACTATAGTGTATTTGTGATTAAAAAATGTTCACTCGGTTATAAAAGTAAAGTAATCCACAATAACCATGCGTTCTAACAGAATATGACAGGTTCAAAACTTAGAAATTCCACATAGTAGCTAACATACTCAGTATATAGAATAACAACGCAAATAAGACTATAATAAAAATACTTTTGTGAGGTACATAGATATTGTAGAGCAAAAAAGGATCGCTACTAATACCAGCACATCCATTCAATAAAATATAAGAAAAAGAACAGCCAACGACGAATCAATTTATTCAAAAATAAGTTGAGAGTCAAGCAAACAAAATACCTAAATCCTTCCAATCCTAGGTTCATCAAGAAAAATAAAACTTAGTTCTCAAGGTGAGTACTGAGAGTATACGAAATTAACAACATTTTGAAAATATTATTTAAATTTTTTTCTTTCTTTAAATTTTTGCTCACTTTTTACTTTAAAAATCTTATAACTCTAATTTTTTTTATAATTATGTTCAGTTAAATGCCTCGTGATTAGCTAGAATAAATATTCGAATACGGATGTAGTAAAATAATTTATTAAAATTGAAAAAATATATAATATAATAACGTATAGACTTCGCAAAATAATTTGAGTAATTTTACGTCTACAATCAGTATTTACCCTGAGATTTGTACTGAGAAGTTTTAGTCAATTATCGAAATGCACAAGGAAAGAATATTTGCCATAAGGAACTTGTGGATAAGATGAGTAGCCGTGTCAGGTGAAATCTTGTTTCAGGCCGTATCAGGTGAAATTAATTGGAGTACTTTATAAAATAGTTACTTTCGAGTAATGATAAATCGTATTTGATATCTACATTTTATACATTTCATGGATACAGAGTTCTCTTGTACTGCATTGAACGTTCTATATACTTGTTTTGGTTTCTGTACTGGTTCGAGTAACTGACTAAAATCTCAATGCTGTGTTCGTGAAACAAGATATAGTTAAAAATGACAGTGAAGCAGAAGTACAACAGTCGATTTGTAACTGAAATTAATAAGAAACATACCTAAGGCTGAGATCAGGACTGGCGCAGCGTATGACAGGGCTTGGTACAGCTGGCACCACAAGGTAGGCCATGGTCATGTAGTATTTCCACACTTGCATGTAACCATCTCTTTCTTTTTCAGGTTTTCGAGGTAGAGCTGGACTTCTAGAGAGAAGTGATGCGCGATTGTCGCTTACGGGTCTGCAAATTATAGTTGTAATCGTAGTCATGTATTCCGACGAATTGATAAATAAACAATATCGTTAATAATAGCTTTTAAGGGTACAGAATGTGATCTAGACGAATTCAAAGCCATAGTGTACTACATTCCAAACCTGTGAATTAGGACCTCGTAATTAAAAATACTTACGCAGGTTCAATAATAGTATAAAGAGCATGTATTCGAGTATGCAGTATGGGCCAAGCCTGCAGCACTGTAGCAGGACATTTAGCTGGCACTCGACTTCGCTCCAGTAAACCATAGAGCAACACCTGGAAAAGGCCGGAATTACTCGTAGAAATATTTTTACACTTACTTCTAAGTGTGAACAACATTTATTAATTGCTATGTAGTGAAATGTCTACATACTTCCCATGGATCCGCTCCATTAGAAGCACTGCCACTCCAGCTATTCTTCGTCGACGCTTCATCGTGTTGAATGCCTATCAATGATAAAATAAGAATATAATAACATGTAACACAAGATTTCTTTATTTTTGTGTTTCTTAATTGTATGATTTCGTGTTTATTTTGCAGGAATAATCAATAAATAAATTAAGTTACCGGTAGTCCAAACAGCGTGTGTTCGTTCAGCCATCCAAACGAGGTCAGGTTGTCCCGCGGCAAGGATAGCTTGTTTCTCGGCCGGCGGCAGCAGCGGCAGACATTTCTCGGCGAAATACGGCACGTGCGCGTCAGCAGCGTCTATCAGCGCCGGCTCTTCGCGTGTCAATTGCAATTTCTCTAGCAAGTATTTCGTTTCTCTGTGGTAAAAGGATAACTTTGTTCGTTAGTCTATATATAAGTAATATGTAAAAATATAAACCGGGTGTCCTATTAAGTACTTTACAAGATCAAGTAACTAAGATAAATAAAAATGTCATAGGAAAGAAATAAATTTGGTTGCACAAACGACGTTCTAAACCTCTCATATTTTGTACGTAATTTTTTTTACAAATGATTATTACAATTATTAATACAAAGATCGAACACTCAGAAAAAGACGCTATACCAACTAAGCCACGGAACGAACCATCGAACCTCACGAATTTTTCTATGTTTTGTTGTCGTCTTTGTATTTGGTTTTTCAACAACTTTTTAACCGTAACGCCATTTATGAGATATCGTAAGTATTTCGTCACCCAGCCCTGGGTAGAGATGTCGCTTTTCATTGTATTTAAATTTTTATTGACTTAAGATTTCTCAACAATCGTCCCCTCCTACGTAAAGTGTCGTATGTCGAAATTGCCAAGTTTACGTTTCAAAGTTCTGAATTCACTAAAATGACTATAACTTATTGTATTTAGCATTTCTCAGTTTTATTGGAGAACGAGTTTTAAAGGAAGTAGCATTGCCGAATAAAACTGAGAAATGCTAAAGTCACGTGTTATGCTCATTTCAGTGAATTCAAAACTTTAAAACGCTGCCCTGTAAACTTGGCAATTTCGACATACGATACTTTACGTAGGAGGGGTCGAAATGGCGCTACCGCTAAAAAGACGTTGAAAAACCAAATACAAAGACACACCCTGAACCCGGCCGGATTGAAGGAATTTTTTCTGAGTGTTCGATCTTTGTAATAATAATTATAACAAACTAGTGGAGTAATTTCACATATAAATAATTGAATATCAATTCAATACAAATTTATATGATTACTACTTCAACATATTATTAAAAAGGTATTCCTACATTACACACTGTACATACTAGACCTGTGTCTGTCGATCATTTCTGATAGCTCGGGTCGGTCATGCGCAATGACCTACCAACGAATGGACGTCGCGTCTAATACAAAAATAAAAAAAATATCCGACGTTAACCTACATAAACATAGTGGCGAACGAAGGTTCTACCGAACAATTGTTACACCCAAACGAAGAGGGGAAAGGCGAACCGTGATATGTATGGGAACAATAATATAGTCAGTTCCAGACTGAGTGTTATGTGAATTGTTAAATAATTTCTAAAATTATAATAATAAATTGGAATATTGCGCGCATGACCCATGTATATCTAAATTGATCGGGTGATTTAGTAGCTCAAAACCCAGGTTATCGATTCGCAGGTGATGTTTGAATAATTTTGATTCGATCGAACACGATCGACACACGATCTAATACATACAACACTGCTCTTACGTCCTTCCGACATTAAGGGTCGTATTCTAGAACTCTACTCAATGCTCAAGTCAGGATTGCACTGGAAACACAAGCACTGGAAATACGACCCTAATGGCAGGGACTGGAGTATGATTTCGAGTGCTTTAAACCATACTCTTATCCTGACTTGATCATTGAGTAGAGTTCTAGAATACGACCCTTAGACGCATGTGTAGACTTTTAATTAAATAAAAAATCACCTCAAAATGTGCACTGCCAATCGCCGTGGGTAGGCCTTGCACTGACACAACATAACCAGGCCTAAAGCCTCCGCACCCCTCACTACTGATGCCAGGGGCTCCATCTTGACCGGAACAGTAGTTGCCGCAGGCTCTCCATTTTTCCAACTTGTTATCAGTTGCAGCAGCATCCGAAGCCCGTTTTCAACTAGCTGTGGTGACGTGTCCTGAAAGAAATAAGAAAACAACCAGTCAATAATTGTTTTACACAAGTCACAAGATAACACGAAAGCAATAAATAGTTAACGGTAACGGTTACCGGTATTAATGTTCTCATCATAACCACGGTATCAATAGTGGTATCGTATTCGGGAGAATAACTATATTCCATCCATAAGGTTCGAATTCGTTTTCCGTCAAGTATCTGTATCTATGAGTCTTTCCAACTCGTGTTCGAAGTAAATTAATTAACTATGTGATACATGTCGTAAAGGAAATCTCCGCAAGGAAATCTGAGGAGGATAAAAAATGTTTTCGAAGACAGTTGAAGGAATAAACGCATTGGGTCGGATTAAAGGACTATAACAGATCCTCAAATGACATCCCCACGCATTAGGGAGTCACTACACTTATCGACAAGGAATCGCATTAAGCCGGTCAATAAAATCTTTGTCTATATAATAAGAGCGAAATGACGATGTGCGTTTTGCTTCGGCAATTAGAGCGGAAGCGAAAAGCGCAACGTCTTTTTCGTTTTTTATTGCATGGACATGAAAGGTGTTTCTGACCGGCTCAAAGGCGATTCTTTGTGAATAAATGTGGTGAGTCCATTAGTAAAATATATAACTTGATCAATACAGTATAACGTTATGTTACTATTGGTACTCAGCTCAAAAGCGTGGCTGTCATCGTTTATTAAAAAAATGCTCTTGAAATCAAAAGCGTTGCTATCATTGTTTATTAAGAAAATGGTTTTGAATTTGCGACGGACCGAGGGGCGTTATCCTCCAGGGCGATAATAAACAATATTTATTGTATATACTTAAAGGTCCATCGTCAAACTTGTGGTAATGTTCCTAATCCGAAGCCGAAATATATTGAATTGTAAATGTGGTCAATGTAAGAAAAGTTTTAGTTTAAGTTTTTAAGTTTTTTTGTAGAAGTAGCATTTAAAGAAATGGTAATTTCAAGAAGCGGTTATTTGAAGATGTTGTCATTTCTCATTGTGGTCTCGAAAGTGTATCGACCAATTAGTGACACATACATGTTTTTAGATAACATTGTATCCGTTTGCTTACTTGAACTTCTTTAGCAAGAAACTGAGTGAATCCAGCGAGAACATCTTGTCTCCATTCTGGAAAATCGACTATCAGCGTTTGAAGGCTCTGGAAAGAGAGTCCTCGTAATTCTTCGTCCATATGAACAGTCAAACGGCACAGCAAGTCCACCAGCTCGTTCGAACTCATTCCTTCAGGAATTAGTCTGAAAATAATAATGTGATAAGAGCGAGGTTCCTAAAATCACTTTTAATAATTGATTAGAAATTGTCAAATTACCTAGGTATAGCAGCAACACACGTCCTGAACAAGTCGATCCGTGGTTTTCGTTCACCAGTATTTATTTCTTGTTCTTTGGTCACATTTTGTGTATTTGTCAACATCAAAGGTCTGCCGTAATGTGCGTCTAGGGCTCTAAGAATCTCTACTAGCACTCTTCTGACATACGGGAAGTACGCACTCATGCCTATGGACCTGGCAGTTTCGTCAGTCAGCATTTTGTTCAGAAACGTTTTCTTAACTCTAAGCGTATTTCCTGACGGTAATGTGCCCGACGTCCTAGGCATCGGTGGTTCGCCTTCTTTCTGCTGCAAACTGTCAGCAACAACCAAGAATGCTCGCAATCCAATAGACATTCTTTCCGGCGTCAATATTATTTTAATCGGTCTTCCAACCATCAGCAAATCGAATACTATCTCTCTCATAGCAAAATCTAGACGCTCCTGAGCTATGAACTGTATTATTTTCACAAAGATATTCAGCGGTGTGTCTCTGGGTACAACACCTTTAGAACCCTTAGGAAATAAAGAGTTTACGATACTTTGTAATCTGGACTGTGTAGCGGAATTACTTTCGCATTTAATTCTGATCATATACACCCATAAAAGGCGATAAAGTGATTCTGAAAGAATGTTAGAGTACTGAGTAAATAGTGTCTTAATTATAATGTATATAATTAGTATAATCAATATTACAATACTCACCTAGAGCCACCCTGCACATTTTAGGATCTCTGTTTTTCAAATGTGACAAACACATTGCTAAGAAGCAATGCCAATTCGCTAGGAAGAACTGTTTCTGTGATACGCATAGCAAACAAGTGACCAAAGGGAATAGAGCTAAGCGGTGCTTAGATTTGGTACTCGCGTCAAGCGTGTGACTGTACAGCATTTCTACGAAGTTTTTCAAACAGGGCACGTTAACTTCGTTTTTCACAGTCTGTCAACATAACAAAGTATGAGAAAATGACGTCAATAAATCTTGTAACATTATAAATTGCGCATACATGAAAATTGAGTATCAACACTTACCGCTGCAACAGGTACTAATATTTCAACGAACAGCCCCGCTAAAGCGTGCCTAATGTCTTTATCTTTGACTTCTAAAAAGTACTGCGCACATTCTTGAAGAAACTGAAATGAAGCTTCAAACTCTTCTATAGGCACCATCTTCACGCGGAAGAACTTCATGCCCATAAGCAGTGAGATAATACTTTGAGTAGTGTGAGGCGACGGCTCACGACTTTTTAGCTCCTGTAAAAAAAATAATGACAATGAATAAAGTTTGAAATTATTTCAAATAACAGGGCGTTATCATGCCAATAATATTATATAATCCGAACCTTGAGTTCTGCGGTGAATCGTTTTCGAACAGAAGCAAATCGTGATTGTGCTAACACCCCTATTACCTCTGCATACAAGTCAGCTAAAATATGTACATTTGCTGCGTTTGGGTTGGATTGGAATCTGAAAAAACATCATGAAATGACACTCGATTCAAAACTCATGCTGATGATATATTTTTATTCTAATGGCTACTAACCCATCCTTATAATTGAACCTTTTGAAGGCAACATTTTCAATGTATTGCACGAGATCTTCATGGCCCGGGTGAAAGGGCAATTGTTTTAGAACTTCTATCAGCGCGAGACAAAACAGGAATTCGACAGCTAAATCACGTCTTTCAGCCTGCAACTCTTCAGAACTTCGTTCCATTGTCTCAGGCCCTGCACCACTTCCTGATACTATGGAGATTATGCTAGGAAAGAAAAGATAGATTGGTTTAGGCTATAGAGTGTGTTTGGGCGGAAATAACAGATTCAAAGCAGTGAAGTGTGCTATACATAATTAACATATTTTAATAACCGACACCCAGAAGTTTTGACCAAAGTAAAGGAGCCTTTACCTTTTATTTCTTAGATCTTGGTGAGGTTTTTTCGCTTGTTCGCTGAGTTGCGGCGAGTCTGCCATCTGTCTTTCCAGCCACCCGAACAGAGCGCGTAAAAGCGATGGCAAACAATGTTCAGCAACTGTGCCGAATGCTGATAATATTTGGTCTAGTTGCGGATCTTCGCCACGTTGAAGAGTTTTGTTCAGCGGTTTTTCCTATAAAAAAACTCTTCAGGTGTCACAATGGTCACAGAACACAATAAACAGCTTACCATAATCGTCATCATTGACTTTAAAGAACTCATTAGTAATGCTTATTATATAACAACATATTTAACATTAAAATGTGTATCAATTATTTATGTGGTCTGTGATTAATACATACCAATGGTTCAGCCATAACAGCCTCCATTTTTCTCTCAGCCTGCACTGTGAACTCCGTGAAGAGAAGCCTCATCACCAATTCTCCTGGACGCAGTTCCGAATCCGGCGGAGGTATCACTGGACCTTTGTGAGATCCCCAGGGAAGCATTGAGCCTGCATTTAGGGAATATTTTTTTAAATTGATTAACAATTTCTTACAAGATATTTTTATTAGGAATTTAAGTTTGTTGTACAATATTTATAATGAATATTATAATTATACCAATATAAGAGTTGGACAAAACAAGGAAAATTAAACATTTAAGCAGGCAGTAAAGAAAACATTTAGTATGATGTGTATCTAAACTAAATCTATTCTAATAAACTTATTTTAAGGAATGACAGCACGAGAATAAAATAATGATCAAAGAATACCACAGTGCAGTAAGGGAAAATTTGCCAGGTCACTAGTAGTGGCATAACATATTCCCCACCCAATAAAATACTGTTACTTTTGCAATGAGGCTTCTGACTGATGATTTAGATACAACATGTACAGTGTCTGTACACACCTCTAGTGGAAACTAATGATGAAGTGTTTCCAACACTTTTCCAATCATTTGATATGGGGGCAGTGCTCCTTTCTTGTGCTGTAGGCATTTGGTCGGTGGATGTTGCATCACTGCTCTGAGCAGATGGGGCGTCTACAGTATCATGTCGAACAGATTCTGAGAGCACACTGCCTTCAGATTCTGCCTCACTAGATACCATGGACGATGGAGCTTCTTCTGTGATGAAAGAGTTTGTTTTATTGTTGGTTAGTTTCATTAATTTATTTATCAAAGTAATAATACTTTGATAAATAAAAAGTTAAACTCAAATAATACATATTTACCATATTATGTAATTTTGGCATTGGAATAAAATAAATAACATGGTAATACATATATTAAAAAAAGTGAAGTTTCAATACCTGACATATCCTCAGGTTGTCCATCTGAGGGAACGGTGCTTATAGAATCAGACTCTTCTGAAGTCATCATTTTGAGTTTAATTTTACAACCACATCAAACTGTAAAAACACAGGCAATATATTCTTTACTAGACATGTAGTTAAGTTGGTATGTATTCACATGTGTCTATATACACTTCTCTTACCCTTTACAACATCCTTGAATTCACTTCACAGTAGAAACAGCATCCTGAAAGTAACTAAAGTTGAAATCTTTGTGTAAAAATTTCACTTAGAAGATACTCATTCTGCAATACTTGTGTGCTAAGGAATCAACTTTAATTGAAACTAGTTTGTCTCGTAAACTATCGAACTATGTGACATTGAATAAAGGTGATGTAAGTATACTTTTACTGTTGCATATTTATTAATATGAAACATTAGATAGTTATCCCTTAGAGGGTAATAACACTCAATTTAAAATTTGTAATGATTTTTCGCAATTTCTTTTTTATACTAAATTTCAGTCTGAATGATAAGGGTAATTATCTAGCAATTATATTATCACATAATAATTATCCTGCCATATCATAGTTCTGGTAAAAAATAAAGAACAAAAAATTCAAAATTATGTTGTTATCTGATATTACCAAAGTCGATTGTAAACATTACAATTGTCATCAATAATAAGGAAGTAAACCAGGACAATTTGAATTTCAATGGATGTCGAAAACAAATAGTAAATCAATAACGAACAGGTAAGGGATATGTTTGTTTCATATTTGGAACAAAATCCTATACATGCATGCATATGCATGGAATAAATGCAATACAGAATGACAAACAACCAGTTATGTATCAAACTAAAAATGTTTTATTCGATGCCTTACTTTCTCACACTCATGTTTTCTCACATCATAAAGAGATTATTCAGGAGATGGCAAAATTTGTTTTTATTTTAAATTTCTTAAAATTCGCGCGAAATTAAGGGGGCGCTTTTTAGCCGTGTGTGAATATGAAGGGTACGTGATTTGAAATCAGCCTGCAAAATTTGTATATACAATCCATTCTTTGCATTTCAGTAACTTTGTACTTTAAGACACGAGTTTGAGAAAGTAAGGCTATGTAAGATTTTGTGAACCATCTCCAATATACAGGATTCTGAAAAAACAATTAGATTACAAAATAATGAAACATTTATTATTTTAATCGACACATGATTGAAAAATTATGTGTTTCTATTATTTTTTAAAAGACAGTCTATGTAATAATGTTATTTAAAAGAAAGTTTTAATGTTTGTCATTCCATTTTCATACAATGTACATGATACCTATTTCTATTTTCATTTTGTGTGACATGCCATTGTTGTAGTGTCTTGTATTAATTTTAACAATAGACATTATTTCAGCTCAGCCATACTTAACTTTACACAAATATAATAGTAAATATTTCGCTATTGCTACACTACATTTGTAAGATATAGAAATATGAGAACAGTAATAGTTAACTCATACGCATTGTCAAAAAAAGAATTTGCAATAATCATCACAATAACACAGTTGGCAGACAGATTGGAGAAACTCAGTATACTCCACTACCAGAGTATTAGACCTGATGATATTTATGCCAAGGTTACTTTCTATAACACAATTTGAGAGATGGCATGTTATGAATTATTTTATTTGTCTGTTTGTCTTTGCTATTACTGCTTTTCTATAATATACTATAATATATATATTTTCTGTAATATATATGACTCATAATGAAATTCATAAGGTTACACAAATGATTAATAACATTCCAGCACTATCAAACGCTAAAACAGCAAAACATAGTAAAGTGTAGTTTATAGTTTTCTGCCTATTTTAAACATTCGTGTTGGAAAGAAAAATTATTTTACAAAAAACTATTCTAAAAGGCTCATTACCAACAAAAAACTACTGCTTAACAGTGCCTAACATTTACCACTTATTCTGATTTTAATAAATGCCAACAAATACTCAGGTAAAAACATAATACTTAGTAAAAAAAGTAAAATTTTGCAAAAGTACTTGTCGCAATAATTAAAACTAGGCCATTAGAGTAATTTCTGTGCTATCTGATTTAACAAAAACAAACGAAAAACCATATTATTTATTGCTATTAGTAACAGTTCACAATCAACAGAGAGAATATGGTGGTCTATATTCACATTGGACTATTTAACTGTTTACAACCTATGTCGCAAGAGCTTGACAGTTGGTGGAGCCTCAAAGTAACTGTTTATTGCTAATGTCCATGAATAGTTTTTCTTGTCATGGTCATGGCTGTTGCCCATTGTCGCTAATACACCTCGGCGATGAATCATTTGTTCAGTGTCCGCGATAATAGATATTTCAATAGCGTTTTCACTAATTTTTCATTATAATTTCGTATGTGCTTGTAAGCTAATCTAAAGTATAAAAATCGATGTACCTGAGTGCCACCGCTGCTACTTAAACTTAAGTCGCGAGTCAACGTCATAATTCTTGTATCTTATTACTATAAAAACGTCAATTATTGTGCTCTATTTTATGAAATGACAACGAAATTATTTAATTTTTCACTCACGACTTCATTCAACAATCCCTTTGACGTTTTATTTTTGACAAGGGTATGTTGATCTAAGGTGTATGACATTGCACTCAGATCAGTGTTGCCGTAGTACATAATTGAAAGTCCGCTAGATTATTATATAGTTCCGCTAGATTTGGGTAAAAATAATTTCCTAAAATCCGTTAGATATCTTTAGAGACAGAGTTGCGTACATTTTGAGTCTTTAAAACATTTTTTACACACATCAGTCAAGTGGTCAATCTGACGAATTGAGCTATATTCAGCGATATACAGTGCGTTAGCACACCCCGCTCTTGCACAAAAGTTGCATACATGTACAGTCCTTGGAGAAAATGACAATTGTCTATTCTGAGAAATTAGTTCGCATTTTTTTTTGTTTTTTTGTTTCTGAATGCTTTTTGAAGTCATTAATTTTTGCGTATATTTCGCAGTGGCAATAACTACAAAATGCTTTTGTGGAGTCACCTGGTACTGGTTTCAAACAATGTTTGAACACTTCGTACTTTTCCCTTTCGCTTCTATAATTCAGTGCGTTCGCTTTTTTTACTTCGGTAGTTCCATGCTTATTTGAAAATCGAATTTGATTCGCAAGCAGTAAATAAAATTGCAAATAATTACGACGATATGAACCAAAAAGCACTTATTTTAATTTAGTTTTGAACACAACAAATAAAAAATAATTATATTCATCTCATCATTCTGTGAATGAGAAAATTTCAATCAATGGGTTTTGTCTTCCTCATTCCTAATTGTAACGAGTGAGAAAGGCATCAAACGAACGAATGGATGTTGAGAGTTTGCTTGTTACAGGGAATTACTGTTCAGTCCAATTCTACGTTAGTGCTATCAGCGTTAGAACTAGAAAATTGGTCGAATATTACTAATTTACCATATTTGACTGACAGGTTATAATGTTTGTTTCTGAAAAGAGCCTAGCGGTCAAAAAGACGCTAGAAGTAGGTAAATATTTTTATCTCGCTGAAAACAAATTTTTACCTGTTAAACATGCATAAAATCCCCTAGATCTAGCGACAAAGGTGCTAGAACGGCAACACTGACTCAGATTCCGTATGAAACGGTCACTATGTTCCTGTATTTTTTACATTGTCTATAACTGATTAGTCCCTTTTAACAAATAAAATTTAACAAAAACCAAAACTAAAACATAATTTTCTAATTTAATTAAGTTTTAATATGAAAAGATTTTTTTGTGTTAACGGCTTGAAATTTTATGAATTTATCTACTGCAGTTAGTTATCTTTTCTTGACGATAGAATAGCTAAAATATATTAAGTCCTGTCTATGGTGTAATAAGATGGCGCGAATTTTGAAAGTAAACTTTTCCATCCTCTAAGAAGTACACACATCACAATTTTCGTAATTCTGAAGAGGAGAGTGGAACTTTAAACTGAAACTGGTGATTTCGCCATTATTTTTATATTATTTAAAAAAAACTGACACTGGACACAAACCCAGTGGCCGCCAAAGGAATTTAATAGAATCAAACTAACGAAAAAAAATAAAGGAATAGTCTGAGGGTCATATTCCAGAACTCTACTCAATGCTCAAATCAGCACTTGAGTATGGTTTAAAGCACAAATCATACTCAAGTCCCTGCCATTGGGGTCGTATTTCCAGTGCTTGTGTTGCCAGTGCAATCCTGACTTGAGCATTGAGTAGAGTTCTAGAATACGACCCTAAGAAAGTAACTCATTTATTTTGACAGTAACTAAATAAGTAGGTATGACAGACATATATCTAGGTACCTATACTATACAGTTAACCGAAGAAATATTTGCGTACAAACATTATTATAGTTACGCACTTTACTTCTTTCGCCAGAGTCGACTTTTCCGCTTAGAAATTATAAATATATTGGAAAAATTATATAAATAATTTGGCGATCATCACCAGTTGTCAAAAATGCACTTCATAGTAATAGCAAACTGGCCTATGCATATTTTTGTTTTCTTTTTTTTTATATAATAATATTTTATCTTAGAGGATGGAAAAAAATAAGTATTATATACATCAATTACAATAATAATAATAATTGACGAAAGAGGGTCATAGTACACCCTCCAATCCACATAGATGCACGCCATACTACATTCACTTGATTTCGGTCCATAAGTGTGGTTCAAACCAGCCAACAGGCTGAGAAAGAAGAATATGATAATAATAATAATACTCGCATCTAACGGGTAATTTAGTTTTAAAGAGCAATATTACCTTGGATCCATCACAATATCGCCCCATGACTTGTCTTAACATTCATTTTGAGCTCCAAGATAACTCAGCACATTGTTTATAACTGTGTGATGTCTGGAGCTCAAAAAGGATGCAGTGGCTGCGGTAGTAAGGAGCTGGTCCTCCTTGACATGGTCGCTGGCTAACAACCACTGCCTGGATACTACAGGAAAGCGTTCGACCCGGTACCCCACTCAGGACTCGATGCCCCACTCAGGACTCGATGCCCCACTCAGGACTCGATGCCCCACACAGAGAGTCCTAGAACTGTGCGAAATTGAGTGCAATAATTCGACACTTCCTCGGGCAATGCATCGGGTGTTGGAGTAGGTACGATCCTGAGTCTAGACGGTCGACGGATGACAGATGCGTATGACCGAATGACATATGGGAGGTATTTTCCAGGGCGATTGTCAGAGTCCACTGTGGTTATGCTTGGCCCTGAGTTCTCTGAGTACTTTAAAAGAGGTCGAGTCAAGTTTTCAGTTTCGGAGAGATGGGCCACGAATGCCTCACCTTCTCTACATGTAGTAATGTAGTAATGGATTTAAAATACCCGTTTCCAATAAATATAGGATAAAAGGGGCTCGTGAAAATAAGTTCGTACAACCTAAGGCTATGAAATACTAAGCGGAGGCTAAATAAATCTGTAGTACCTCGTATTATAATGATAGTAAGCAAAAAAAGAAGGCGTTATTGAATGAAATTCCGATATCAAAATAAAAATGTTTGAAAATTTGTTTTGTTGCTGTAAGTATGAACTTGCATTTCTTATAATTATTGTAATAAAATAGTTATTGTTGTTTTATTGTTAATAAAGTTAGTCTGACCTACATGAGAAGTACCTTCTCGAGTACTTAGTTAATCATTAAGTATATCTATAATTGTGTAAGAGCGTGCTCGCTAACAAAATGTTTCCAGTTCTGTGGGAGATAGATTTCTGTAAAACGTATTTTTTTTTAAATAAATAAATTTTAAACAGTGGATGATCTCAAGCTATCTATATCTATAATGGAGGATAGCAAGGCCCACAGCTAACAGATTGACGGAGCTGACAATCACCAATGATTTCAGTATTTGTAACTAACTACTGAAATCGTTGGTGATTGGTAAGTGTGCGGTGGTCTATGTCGAGAGGGAACGTGTCATACATTCCGATGGCATTAATGTTGACACCAATTATCCGCGGGTACTCTCCGAGACTAACACGTACCAGTATCTTATAACATATAACTCTTGCTTCTCTATTCTTGGAACTTATAACTCCTGGGTCTTGCCTGTTCTGATGTACGCATTTGTCGTGCTCAGGTCGACTCGAGACCTCAGGCTGAAGTAGATGCTCTGGATAGACGAGTCCGCACGATGATGACCTCTCACCGAATGCATCATCCGGGGTCATGCATGACATTGTATATACGGAACTGTGGAGGCCTATTAAATGTCAAAACCAAGCACAACCGCGGGACTTACAATCTCAGAAACTACTTTATGACGACGAAGATGACGTAATTCGTGATGAGGTTGTCACATGTGATAAAGGGCTAACTCCTTTATCGTTAGCCAAAGAGGAATGGTGAGACCCTATGGCGCTTAACACCTCTGACCGGAAGTCCGTACGCAAAAAGAGAAGGAGCTCGATGGGAGGTTCTTCAAGGTAATCCACGAGTCCTTTGTGGACGTAAAGCCTCCGTGCACGGAAGGTTTTGTCTGTGCAACACAAGACCAGGCTATCAAGACGCGGAACTATCGGAGAAATATCTTACATGGCGGGCATGTGGCTGTCCCGGATAGTCATTTAGGCATATTGTTTCCGTTTGTTACGCTCTTTTTCTATAATAGGTATCAAGTGACGGGACGAACAAATCGTGCGCCTGGCGGTATGCTACACGCCAGTCCATAACAGTTGTTATGCCACTCAGCTCTTTAAATCGCAAATATCTGAGGCGCACTGCCACTGCGCCCGTCACCCTAAGACATAAGTTGACAAGTCCCATGGGCAATTTCATTACACCCTGAACCTTCAAAACCGGAACACAGTAATGCTGATATTATTGCTTGACGGTAGAAATAGATAAGGTGGCAGTACTTGTACATCGCGCTCCACAAATGTTTTTTTTTTTTTTTTAATTTTTCTT